TAAAACCTTCAACAACAAATCGAACCCGTGGCCTGAATCATCAACCCCTAGCCTAGGAGCATCTTAAAGCACGCACCTCCAAAGCCCTAAACCCTAAACCCTGAACCCTAAACCCTAAACCGGGTTTCGGGTTTTAGGGTTTCGGGTGCCTCGGCATCCACAGGAGGAGCCCATTGGCTGGCTCGCCAGGCAGCCAGATCCTTAGTCGAAGAAGGGTTTTCAAAAAAGGAGTGAACTTAGGGTTTAGGGTTTAGGGTTTAGGGTTTAGGGTTTAGGGTTTAGGGTTTTTAGGGTTTAGGGTTTAGGGTTTAGGCCTCCTTTAATTTAAGGGGGTTCCTTTAAAGGGCTCCTCAAAGGGTATATAAGGGCTTGGGGCTTCGTAAAATAATTCGAATAAGGTTTCGGGGCTCCTTTGAAGGGTTCCTTAAAGGGGTCGATTGGGGCTACTGTAAGGGTTTAGGGTTTAGGGGCCTTAACAACCTTGGTTCACTAAACCATAAAGCCTAAACCCTAAACGAAGCCCTACGCCCTAAAAAACGCTCTAAGCCCCGCAAAACCCCTGGGTCGATGGGGACCCGGGATCCTTGTAAGACGGTTTACGCCTCTGGGTTTAGGGTTTAGGGTTTAGGGTTTAGGGTTTTAGGGTTTAGGGTTTAGGGTTTAGGGTTTAGGGTTTTAGGGTTTAGGACCCTATCAAACCCTTCCAAAGCCCTATTCCAAGGCCACGATTTTGGATCCCTTTCAATCGGGCTTATAAGGCCTTGCTCAAGACTCCTACTTCAAGTCCTTTCAGGGGTCCTTTGATGATACAAGCCTAGTCAGACGTAAAGCCAACCCTTTCATCCCGTGTGAACCCGTAAGTCTTATGAAACCTTACCATAGAAGGCCGCGAGACCCCCAAACCCCAACAAACCCTGAACCCTTTTGCTTTCTCTTGATTGAAAGGGGCAAGGTTCCCTAACCCTAAACCCTAAACCCTAAACCCTAAACCCTAAACCCAAAGCCCTAAGCCCTAAACCCTAAACCCTAAACCCTAAACCCCTGGATCTATTTTTTTGACAGCCGAGGTCGGTGCTCCTCCGACCAGCCACAGATCGGCAAAGGCCTCGCGTGTTTCGCTGGGCTTACCTATACCTTAAGAGCCCAAGACCTACTTTTTTGTAGGGTCCCTATAAATCCCCATATTCGGGTTTATAGTAAGAACCTACAACAAAGTGGGGTTTTGGGTTCTTAAGACAGGCTCCATTGTAGTTCCTTTCCGTGCATAAGGTAACCCCGAAAAGGAATTACAATGGAGCCTATGGGTGGGGACGGAGGGACTTGGAAGGTTCTTGTTTAAAGGGTTCTGGGTGCTTTAGGGTTGAGGGTTTTTGGCGATGTATTGAAGATTTTTGTGCATTTACGGCTCGGCGTTGAAAGCTTTGTGGGTTTAGTTTTGAGGATTTAGGGGATTTAGGGTTTAGGGTTTAGGGATTCAGGGATAAGGGCTTGAAGGCTTACGTGGCAGAGGGTGACTTAAGGGTTTACCGCTTCAGGGGTGGGATGTCAGGTGCAATCTAGGGGCCTGAATAATCAGAAGAGGGTTCTGTGAACAATAGGGTATAGATAGAGCAAGGAACCATAAGAAATAATTAATATTGGTATTGACGCCTCTAAACCCTAAACCCTAACCCCACCCGAATCTACGGCAGGGTGCAGGCTTTTGCAGGCAAGGATTCAAACAGAGTTCTTTAAGGGTTCTACAAGAGATCCATAGTAAGGGTCCTATAAAATTGGGGCCTAAACCCCTAAACCCTAAACCCT